TTAAGACGTCTTTGTGTTTACATTATTAATGAACGATAACACTGCATGCAACAGAATTACAAAAGGTCACAGCCAAAATGGTGACTCTGCATTTGTCGGATGATTTTTAATTGGATTCACACGACTGGTGCCATATTGTCGATGCCGTTAAACCTGTTGAAGTATTTCAGTGTGTGAAAAAGCGAAAGATTATTTGATTGATGGAAGTTCTAATAATTTTAACTATAGAAAGAAATAGGAAGAAAGGGATTTCAGTGGTCAGGAATGAAGGCCATTAGATAGAAAGGGCTATTAATTTTAAATGCAAAATTTTCTAGAGGAGACGTTATCAGTGGACTGGGATGAAGGCAAATTACTGATAGAAAGGGCAATTATATGTATAAGAAATGCATTGTTAAATTTTACTATAGGAATTCATTGAAAATCGGAAGAAAGGGATTGTCAGTGGTCAGGAATGAAGGCAAGCATTACTGATAGAATAGGGCTATTATATGTATAATGGAAATGCATTGTTAATGATTTTACTATAGGAATTCATTGAAAATCAGGAAGAAAGGGATTATCAGTGGACTGGGATGAAGGCAAGCATTACTGATAGAATAGGGCTATTATATGTATAATGGAAATGCATTGTTAATGATTTTACTATAGGAATTCATTGAAAATCAGGAAGAAAGGGATTGTCAGTGGTCAGTAATTAATGCAAGCATTACTGATAGAATAGGGCTATTATATGTATAATGGAAATGCATTGCTAATGATTTTACTATAGGAATTCATTGAAAATCAGGAAGAAAGGGATTGTCAGTGGACTGGGATGAAGGCAAGCATTACTGATAGAATAGGGCTATTATATGTATAATGGAAATGCATTGTTAATGATTTTACTATAGGAATTCATTGAAAATCGGGAAGAAAGGGATTGTCAGTGGTCAGTAATTAATGCAAGCATTACTGATAGAATAGGGCTACTATATGTATAATGGAAATGCATTGCTAATGATTTTACTATAGGAATTCATTGAAAATCAGGAAGAAAGGGATTGTCAGTGGTCAGGAATGAAGGCAAGCATTACTAATAGAAGAGCTACAAACATCAGGAACAAGAACGCTTCACAAACATAAGAACCTACAGAGTCTTTTATAATCAGAATCACTTGAGATGAGGGTGGAAATATTCTAATTTTTAAAATTAAATCTGATTTCATTTCCTGAAAGAGTTAGCAATGACCCAGGTATAAAATTGCATTTCAGAAGGGCCCTCTTATTAGCTAAAATCTTTAAATTTTCATTATTGAGAACTGAGTTTTGATTAAGATCTTTTTCTTTTCCTCACACCCGCATCAATTGTCTGTCTTTTCTTTTGCATATTTTTTTTGTCTTCATTTCTCGTCTGGCTGCACAAATTATTGAAAAATACCCCCTCATTAGAGCCTACTTTTCACAATAAAGAGAGAAAAAGTTTAAGCCCCACCTTTTCTTTTTTTTCCCTTTTTTTTTTTTTTTTTTTTTTTTCTTCCAAGGTTTGTTCAACGTAAAATTTAAAAGGGTAGGGTCCTTATAATGCTTAAGGCATTAACTGAAATAAATTCTTTGTGTAAAAAAAAAAACAAAAAAAAACTGCAGACTATCAGATTTTAATGAGGAACTTAATTCACTTGTATTTTGCATGTATGGCATCTTGACAATTTCAATTCCCTGCACCAAATGTTTAAGTAATATAATCCTCTGAAATATTAAAATGTAGGAGAGAAGATTACAATTTGACCTTGTCAAGGTTAAGGAGTTTTTTGTTGATATTGTTTTAGCAAGGTAAGCCATTTTCTGGATTTAATAATGAGTACATCTTTATTGTTTAATTAAGCTCGGATACTGAAAATATTTAACCAATTAGTTCATGGTGTCCAGTTTTTCAGTTTTGCCAAAGATTTTATAATCTGCTTGTCAATCTGTGACCGAGTGGTCTAAAGCTGTGCTACTCTGTCTGGTATGCATACTGGCGCCGGTACACAAGCCATTGTCTGCCGGTATGCAGAGTTTCCAGGAAAACAAAGAAACAGTCACATTTCACACAAGGGAAACTGTTGGGATGCCTAACTTGGGTTTTTTTATTTTTTTAAGCATTTTCATTTTAGTTTTATATATATATATATATATATATATATATATATATGAAGAAAAAATATACGGAAAAAACAAACAAAAATCCTAATATGCAATTATGCTGTTTTAATGTTAATATAATGTCAACGTCAGACGTTTCGGTCTAGTAGACCATCTTCAGGACATATTCATAAAACATAATTAACATTAGACTATATTCAATTCAACATGAAATGACGATGGACATAAGAGTAAGACTAATCAAAACAGATAACTGAAATTTTTCAAGATCAGCGTTCCGTTGAATTAAATATAGTCTAATGTTAATTATGTTTTATGAATATATCCTGAAGATGGTCTACTAGATCGAAACATCCGATGTTGACATTATATTAACATTAAAACAGCATAATTGCATATTAGGATTTTTGTTTGTTTTTTCAGTATATTTTTCTTCATACTCTCGGATCTATATCCATATATTTGCATACACACACACACACATATATATATATATATAATATTATGGTTACATTTTTCAATTAGTCACTCATGTTAAATCATTTATATATCACGAATGCGATATATTGAACAGGAAAACAAGTAAAATACATATGTCAGCAGCCTTATGACATGGTGTGTGACTGTGTGGGAACCAAAAGGCCATTTTCATGGACATATATTTCCCTTATATAGCCACGGATGGTTCAAACATTCGCTTTCTGACCATGAGACCTGGGGGTCGAAGTTCACCATGGTCACTTTGTCTGGAAGGTGATGTCTTGATGATGTAGGTCTGGAGAAAGTAGAAAGTGCCTGAAAAACTATACGACAGTTTGACTTGTGAGTGAAATTGGGTAGACAGAACCCTTGGTGGTTGTGCAAGCATGAAGTCTCAAGTCATCGTTGCTGATGGTTTGAGTGTGCTAGCCTTGTTCAGACTGTTGATCACACCAGATAGCATGCTCTCTCCCAGAAACTGTAAGGTTTGCTCAGCTTAGTTGCAGTTAACATTTTCATTTTAGTTTTATATTTATTATGGTTACATTTCAAGCTAGTTCAAAAGTAAAACGATGGGACCTAACTGCCAATCTAGTAGAATACTTAAATTCGTGCAGTTGAGGCATTAGGCAGTGACTGATAGAGGTTTCATGATGTTTGGTGATGCCTGGGTCCAACTCCTTGATTGTATACCCCCAAGATTCTAGGAGAGGAGCTATAGGGCCTAGTACTGAGAAATTTGAGAAAGGAAGACATTTTAAATTTAAAGAACAAAGGAAACCTGAAATAAACACTGGATTCAAATAAAATATAAAGTAAATTTTTATTTGACTCTAGTTTTTCTTAAATATAAAAAAAACTAGAAGTTGTAAATCCTAACATGATCCCTGTTCCCTATGTTTACAAGAAAAAATTTATATTATAAAGTTTGCTAACAAAAAAAGCTCTGTTGAACCAAAGAAATGAATTAATGGTGTTATGTTGGCATTGTTGATCTTTTTCCTTAAAATATAGTTCAAAAGATTTTTTTCATAAATAATTAGGTATTACAATTGTATAGCTATTATTTTATTAGTATATAATGGTCCACCCAACATTTATTTGATTTATTCAACTTTAATATTGCCATGTTTTATCATCTATTCAGTATAATTAGCATTGTATATAGATGTTCCACATTTTTAATTTTACCTATTGACCCCTTTAAGAAGCTTCCTGAGTATAAAAAAAATAAATATGAAAAAAAAGATATTTTTAAATTTATTTTTGATAACTTAATGTCTACTTCAACAAATTGGTGCATCATACTTGGCTACATCCATAATACATTTGTCACTGCCATGTTTTCGACAATCATTGGATGGCATGTCCAAAGCGTCAGTTTATCTTGACATCAAAAAATACACATCCACCTCCACCCTCTGACTTTATTTTTCTATATTAGTATAGATCTGTCTTAATTGGTTAATCTAGACATACCCACAACTATATTTTTAATTCTGATCTTATGCCCCCACATGCCTTTAACAAGGCAATGATTTGTTTTTTAATTTCCATAATAAATCATTTTTATCACAAGTTATCGACCATCGGCTGACGAAGTACAATCATAATATTAAAACATGTAAAGCTTTTGTGTAGTGATGTAAAATGTTTTCATTATAATCTATTATAATAAAAATAATAATACAGTGCTCTACATTGTATTGAGCACTTTTTTAAAAAGTAAATGCTATGAACTGTGGATTTTTACTCCATCTGTTCTTTCTCTTATTTGTCTGTATATATATATATATATATATATATATATATATGTGTGTGTGTACAGTTTAAAAAGGAATAAGGAAGAAAACAAAAGTTTGAACATCTCCTGTGTATCAGATAAACAAGAACGTATCATATTCAAGAAATGATGACATTATCTTGCAAAGCAAAATTTCTTGGGAATTTAAGAATTATTTGCTCCAGAAAAAGGAAAAAAGAAAAGATTTAAAAGATCTCTGGAAACTTTCTCACAGATAACATGAAGAGGGCAAATAGTAAAAAAATAACATGATTTTTTCTCCCTCTCCTTCTCGCTTGCTCTCCCTCTCCTTCTCGCTTGTTATCCCTCTCGCTTGCTCTCCCTCTCCTTCTCGCTTGTTATCCCTCTCGCTTGCTCTCCCTCTCCTTCTCGCTTGTTCTCCCTCTCACCCTCTCGCTTGCTCTCCCTCTCACCCTCTCGCTTGCTCTCCCTCTCACCCTCTCGCTTGCTCTTCCTCTCACCCTCTCGCTTGCTCTTCCTCTCTCCCTCTCTCTCCCCCACTCTTCATTCCCCCCACGTTCCTTAAAACAAAACTTGAAAATTTACCCAGCATCTTCAATAACAAATATAACCTGATCCTGCATTTTGGGCATATGGCCACAGCACATTGAAACATTGTTTCCTGTATGATCTCCAAAGTTAAATAACATTGAGCCTGGTCAGTACCTAGATGGGTGAATGCTTGAGAATACCAGGTGCTGTAAGTTTGGTTATGCAGCTGGTATCATAGATAATGACTCGGAATTCTTAATCACAGAGTGAAGTTCCATTTTTGAGTTGGGTTTGTTATATTGCCTTATGTGCAAATAACCTTGGGAAAGGTATGAATCCACCTCTTCTCTTCCCAACTATGGGTTAATTAGTAAGACTTAATCAGTAAATCATTATTATCTCCATGAAATTATTAGTCTAAAGACATTTTGAAATTTCTGTGAAAAATAACAAGGAAATAAGGTTTGGAGAATTTAGCACTCACAAGGCATATTGAAGAGTAGTGGAAAAGTGAGTAATAGATGCCAGGTTCTAAGCAAAGAGGAATTATAATGGGGCATAAGTTAGACTAATAAAAGCAAGGAAAAGGAAGTTGTGGAGAGTCATGGTCCCCTGTCATTTCAGTATTTTAAATAACCCCTTAAGGTTGATATTCTGTAAACCCAACCATTCCCTGCTGCAGACGCCTACTCAGGCACATCTGTGTTTTATAATGGTAGTATGCTTAAACCCTCGGTCACAATTATTTGTGACTTGGGATAACCACCGACGTTAATGTGTATCAGGAACCGTTTTTTATGAAACTCTCCCCAGGTATCTCATGGACACATGGCACAGTGGATAAAGGCGTTAGTTAGATCCAGTGACAGGACCCAAATAGTGCGAGTTCAATACCTCCTTTAGGCAGTGGAGAACTTGGAGACATGAATTAACAGGAGATAACTGATATCCATTAGACATGGCACGTGGAACTAGAACAGTCTACCCCAGCAAGCGAAATAAAGGGTTCAGTTTGACATTCTAACCACCTGAAGAAGTCCAGAGCATACAACGGCCAAAACGTTGCGATAAATATGACAATAAAGATGAGGACAATAGTCCGAATAATGTAAATAAAGATGAGGACAATAGTCCGAATAATGTAAATAAAGATGAGGACAATAGTCCGAATAATGTAAATGGTGTCTCCCAGGTAATTTTAAAAAATAGTAACAAAATAAATAAATAAAAATACTGGAAACATTTTGGTCGATTCAGTGTCCACTAATAAATGACAAACATAAATGTCGACTTTATCGACCTTGGTCTATATCTTCTTATCTATCAGTTCAATGTGAATTTTGTCCTTTAAAACTTGTCTTTAAATGACCCATTATGTGTTGATGTGTCATTAAATTAACCCTCCTAACCTAACAATGTTCAATTTTTTCTTCAGACATGTCCCTCTTGTACAATTTTTTTTTTTTTTTGTTTTTTTGCAGTAGTGTTTTGAAAGGGTCGCCATGTTGTTGTATAGTTTTATTAGGCTTGTAATTAATGAAGAAAAACACGTGAATTTATCTCATTCGTTGGAAATGAAAAATAGATGGGATTTTTTTTTTATTTTTATTTTCTAAAGGAACACGTTCCATTTACACACATTGTTGAAAAGACAGCAGATAGTATTTAATTCATTTTCCACCTTTTTTTTTTTTTTTTTTCATTATCGCTATAAAATTCTAAAACCAATAATTAAAATTTAAACAGAAATTATGATTGAAATTTTTTGCGATCTTCAAACGACTCTCCAAACATGTCTGCGGTCATATGACATGGTCACGTGACATCCATTAACACTAGCATATTTCTGTTTGCACTTTCCAAAATTCATTTACTTGTGCTCCGAGCAAGAATTTTTAGAGAAAATAATTGCAGGAAAATTATGCAAAATTTTATCTTTTTTTTTTTTTTTTTTTTTTTTTTTAATTCCCTATTATAAATTTTATTTTTAATTTCTTTTTTTTTGGTTTGAACTTTAATGGAAGACTAAAGCTTTTAGTTTTCTGTTTTTTGTTTTAAGGTGTCATTTTGAAAAATCACCGTTCGAATAGAGTTTAAGAAGCTTAAAATTGCAAGAAGCAGGAGATATCAGTCATGCCAGTCTTGGGGACCAAATTTAAAACAAAAATATAATTATGAATGTGATAAAATGAATTTTATTGACTTGTAATGACAAAAGTGTAAAACCAAATGCAGGTGAATGTAGGGGTCGACTCGGGATAAGTTTCGCTATTTGATTGGATTCGATTCTCTTTAAAATGATTAAAAGGTGAAACAAAAAAGAAATGGGGATGAAAAAATGATTTTTTAAGTGTGCACAAATGAGAAAAAAAGATGAAAAGGAAGATAAGATACAAATGGATTTGATGGAGGCAGGAAGAAGGAAAAAATTATTGAAAGGGAAAGGAGATCAAATAGAGAGACATGGTGTCTTGGACAAAGTGAGAATTTAGTTGTAATGAAAGACAAAGCAACAAAAGGAAAAAAAATTGGCCAGTCGAGGAAAGAAAGGACATGGCAGGAGTTGACCTTTGGCATGGGAGGCATTTGGTAAGGATCAAGAGAAAAAGGAAGATGCTGTGAGAAAGAAGGAGAGAGAGAGAGAGAATATGAGTGGCGAAGAGAGGGAGAGAGAATGACATGGAGTGGCGAAGAGAGTTGGCCCGAGTGCTGACATGAGAGAGAGAGAGTTGGCCCGAGTGCTGACATGAGAGAGAGAGAGTTGGCCCGAGTGCTGACATGAGAGAGAGAGAGAGTTGGCCCGAGTGCTGACATGAGAGAGAGAGTTTGGCCAGTGCTGACATGAGAGAGAGAGAGAGAGTTGGCCCGAGTGCTGACATGAGAGAGAGAGAGAGAGAGTTGGCCGACAAGGACATGAGAGAGACATGGAGAGAGACATGAGAGAGAGAGAGTTGGCCTGAGTGCTGACATGAGAGAGAGAGAGTTGGCCCAGAGTGCTGACATGAGAGAGAGAGAGTTGGCCGAGTGCTGACATGAGAGAGAGAGTTGGCCAGTGCTGACATGAGAGAGAGTTGTTGGCCTGAAAAGCTGACATGAGAGAGAGAGTTGGCCTGACATGAGAGAGAGTTGGCCCGAGTGCTGACATGAGAGAGAGAGTTGGCCCGAGTGCTGACATATGAGAGAGAGAGAGAGTTGGCCCGAGTGCGAAGAAATGGGCTGAGATTGTGACTGAAATGAAAGAAAAACATGGCTGACAGAAAAAGGAAGAAACATGACATTTGCAAAAGAATGAAGACTGTAGGCCAGAATGGCTCAAAGCTGATAATAAAAAAACAAAAATGGCAGTAGTAGTCTCTTAACAATGTAGTGTTTATTTTTGAAAATATTAAATATGCTATTACTTTTTATCAATAAAGATATTTTTCCCCTCGGTGATAGCATAATAATTGCTTTTTGGGTTTTCTTTTAATTTTGTATTTAAAATAAACGTAACTAAACAATAACAAAAAAATTAGGAATTTTAAATGTAATATAAACAAAAAAAATATATATAAAGTTAAAAACAAAATCAACAATCCCAACATAAAATATGTGTGACCTTGTCATTATAATATAACCAAAATATTTAACAAAATTTAAAATTAGTTAACAGTCTGAACTCCACACCTGAAGATTGTGTGGGGTAAGAAACTAGGCTATGCTATCAGTGGGGTGGGGATCATGTATACTTATTAATATATAGTTTATAACTTTGTTGTATTGCATTGAGCACTGTTTTATTAACACCAGCACTCAATGTGTATATATATATATATATATATATATATCAAATATGTGGTGCAATTCAATTTATATTACATGAATCATTCATACAAAAAGTAGATTAGCAAAGTTAATGATATAAATGGTGAAAAACATCTTCGCAAACAAATTTATTAAAGTTACATTGACCTACAAATCACTCAATGAATGTTATAATCCTTGTTTTTAATATCTTCAAGTTGTATAAGGTCTTTTTTGATTCTCCTAGTACTTTCGGCTGTACATACAGACATCCTCAGGCATGGGAATTGTTTTTTTACTAAATCCAGGTGATAGCAGGACACGAAAGATTAAATGTGAATCAAAATATGTTTATTTAGAAATCTGTTATTGTTAATGGATAAGAAATTTTGGAGCATGCAGTCGCAACGCTAAGGTTGAATTTTTTTTTTTCTTTTTTTGAAAATTTAAGAGAGTGCGTTTTTTTTACTAATATGGTAATTTGAGGAAAAAAAAAACCTACAACAAAAAAAATCTCAAATTACAAAAAAATATCTTGAAATATTAAAGAGTAGATATATTCAATTAAATGGCCATTGGCTTCAACCATGGCTGCCAGATGACTTTGGAATCTCCTGCAACTCTTCTGGGTGGTCTACTTCTATGCTAACTATTTCTTCTGTCGCACATCTTCCTTGTAGAACTCTCATTCAGCTTTTTGCATCCCAGTCAACTTTGATCTTCAAAAATTTAAATGCAATAACAATCTTTATCTTCTGTCTTCTTAATTCTTTTTCTTTTATTGTCCTCTCTCATTAAGTGTTTTCTTTTTCTCATATTCTCAATTTGATCTTCAAAAATTTAAATGCAATGTCAATCATTATCTTCTGTCTTAATTCCTGTTGTCCAGTTTAGTTCTTATGTATTATGAGCAAGTTTAAAGGGCCGTCTCTCAGCGTACGTCTATCTTACGTTCGTAGATGCAGGATTTTAGATTCCTTGATGTCTCACCAATGTAAACTTTATTTTATAAATCCTAGAATTTGAAGTGGTGTTGCATCAATTTTCCTCCTAAATCTCAGGTTTTCCTGATGGTGGTTGTGATAAAAATACTCATGTTGGGGATAATTAATCTGTCCTTGACAGAGCAGACAGATACTCTGTATCCTGAGCAGATATGCTGATCCATATATAAATATTCTTATTTTTTATGGGTAGTATGCTTATAAATAAAGTGCACATATTCAAGAAATTTAGACAGAGAAATTGAGTTAATCTCAAAATATTCATTTTTTGTTTGGGGGTTTGCTATTTGCCCATGGCTAGGAGCCAGACAGGTGCTACCACCCTGGGTCAAAGTGAATCTGGGAACAACACCAATTAAGAGGTGGTCCCACACTACACAAAACTTCCTAATCATAGGCCTTGCCCCTGGATGTAGTTTATCATCATACCCAGGACTCTGGAGACAAAGACACAATTGAAAGATAAAATGTAGTTTTTCTGCCCGATAGGCAGATACTACACTTTGATCACTACCAAAAATATGCAGAGAACTAACAAGACACAATTTGATCCCTGACAGAGCACACAGATACTGTGTGTCCTGGGCAGACATACCAATCCATATGTAAATAATCTTATTTTTTATGGGTAGTATGCTTGTAAATAAACAAAGTGCACATATTCAAGAAATTTGAACCGAGAAATTGAGTTAATCTCAAAATATTCAGTTTTAAAATTTTTTGACTAATGTTTATCTGATACAAGGTCCAAGAACCTATCAAGGTAGAGGGTTAGGGTGTGGTGTTTTATTAACATAGGAAAGAACAGGTGTTAGGAGTATAGAACTGGATTAATTTTTTAAAAAACTGCATTCATAAAATAAAAATAATACAAGGTAAGCTTATGAATTTTGTGTTCTTTTTTTTATTATTGTTCAGTCGTCATCTTTCATCCTCAATATGGAGAAAAAATGAAAATTCAGATATTTTTGTTTGTTTTACATTGGTTAAGGAGGCTTCATAGACATTTTGTCTTGTCAAATTGCGTTCTCGTGTAAATTTGTATAAATGTATCATGATTCTATTGGCATGGGGCCAAGTGGTTAGAATGTTCTTGGTCTGACCACGAGACTCGTGTTCGAATCTTACCTTTGTCGATTTGTTGGGAATGGGACTTCCTGAGGTTATCAGACTGGAGGGGTTGATCCCAGTGTGCGGCACCTTTGGAAAGTGCCTGAAAACCATACAACAGATTGACTCAAGCCTTGTGAGTGAAATTGGGTAGATATAATTCTTGGGTTCTGTCAATAGCTGTGCTAGCACAAAGTCACATGTCATTGTGGCTGAGGGCTTGTTCAAATTGTTGATCACACTAGACAACAGGCTCTTTCCCTGAAACTGTAACTAAGGTCTTCTCAGCGTAGCTGCAGTATAAACCACAGGTGGGCTCTGTGGGTTTTGAATAAACACAAATGCGCTTGAGCGAGTGTCTGCAATAGGGATTGACTCGCCACCCTAGTAGACGGGTATCCTGGAATAAGTGGCTAGCTATACTATACTCTCATGTTTCTAGTTTGTCTATGTGGGATGTAGATGAGAATGTATATTCATTTGGGTGTGTCTTGTAAGCCTTTTATTTACATATGGTGCTTATAAACATGGTTGATTTGGGGACTTTTCTTGTGGTGGTCGCAATAGGAGGTAGACATATTTGAGTATGGATTTCATAAAAGTTGATGTAATATAGTGTTTGACAAGTGTTTATAAACAGTAAAATTTTTCTCCTCTCGAATATTTCCAATGTATAGAATTAAGTTCCTTTTTTTTAATTTGGGTGGAATTTATAAAATCAAACGCACTATATTTCGTCAACAACTTTTATAAAATCTTTACAGAATTTAAAACATGTCTGTCTACTACTACGACCTCAAAAAAGTTCAACGAGTTGCTCTCCTGAAGGTTAGCATTAGCCATGCTGATGGAAGGCAGAAAAAGGTTATCTCAGACGATTAATAGACAACAGTTTCATTTTGGAATGTGTTGAGGAAAGGCAATAAATAGGAAGCTGGGATTACGAGATGAAACATGTCTCTGGGTGGTTTGGGATAAAGGGTTAGAATTGAATGTCTGTAGCTATATTTGTTTTGGGATGCTTTCCGAGAATTCCAGACAGCGATATTTTTCCAAAAGGCAACACTTTGCATTCCACTCCAAATTCTGGCCATCTGAATAAACACGGTCAGGAGTAGGAAAGCTTGTGCCAGATTTGTTTTTGGAGAAAGAAAAAAAAACATGAGTGTTACAATTATATACACATTTGTATACAAGTGCAATACATATACATGCACACGCCTACACATATAAAATTACGTCTCTGGACTAGTAATTTTTTTTTTTTTTGGTGTGATCTTAGTGGATCGCAGGTTTTCTGCAAACATTTTTAAAGGTCATTAATTAAATTATTTTTGAAAAGAAGTCTAAAAGCAAAATTAGTGTACGTATCAAAATGAAAACGCCTTCATAGATATTCAGAAACTCGATGTAAAGCTCATTAAATTATAATTAAAAAAAACAAAAAGTATTTTTAAGAATTTTAATTCTTTTTCTTACAAATTATAATAGATTGTTTTGTTTGTATTAAATAAATCCTAAAAAATATACACTTTCGTTTCGTCAACATAATTTATGTGTGACACAGAAGTTTACCTCTTGGTTAACGTATGTCATGAGATAAAAAAAAAAAAGGGTTGGAAAACATTAGAGAAATGTGTGGGCGTTTATCTATTTGTGTGTGTCTCTGTATATCTGTGGTTAGTTAACTCTTGTAAACTAATGACAAATTATTTAATACTGTTTTGTTTCTGCTTTTTTAGAAAGGCAATCAGCGAAAATTGATTTTTATTACTGTCCAACCAAAGTAGCATTGCTAAACATTAATCCAGACCATTGTGTGTGTGTGTGTGTGAGGCGGGTGTGTGTGTGTGTGTGTGTGTGTGTGAAGCATGTGTGTGTCAGGTATGTGTGAAGCATGTGTGTGTCAGGTATGTGTGAAGCATGTGTGTGTCAGGTATGTGTGAAGCATGTGTGTGTCAGGTATGTGTGAAGCATGTGTGTGTGTCAGGTTTGTGTGTGTGTGTCAGGTTTGTGTGTGTGTCAGGTTTGTGTGTGTGTCAGGTTTGAGTGTGTGTCAGTTGTGTGTGTGTGTGTGTCAGGTGTGTGTGTGTGTGTCAGGTTTGTGTGTGTGTCAGGTTTGAGTGTGTGTGTGTCAGGTGTGTGTGTGTCAGGTGTGTGTGTGTCAGGTATGTGTGAGTATGTGTCAAGTGTGCGAGTGTGTCAGGTAGGTATGTATGTGTGAGTGAGAGGTACATATGTAATGGATGTATGTGTGATATGTATATGCAAAATCGGTACATATAATAAATTATTGCCAATAATATCAATTATGAACATGGCTTCAACTTTCTGACTGTTTGGAAATTGAACATATATATATATATATATATATAT